CATGGAAGCTTAAAAACATGCTCCTAAATAATCAATGGATCAATGACCAAATGAAAATGGAGATCCAGCAATATATGGAAACAAATGACAACAACACAAAGCCCCAACTTCTGTGGGACACAGTGAAAGCAGTCTTAAGAGGAAAGTATATAGCAATCCAGGCATATTTAAAGAAGGAAGAACAATCCCAAATGAATAGTCTAATGACACAATTAGCGAAATTGGAAAAAGAAGAACAAATGAAGCCTAAAGTCAGCAGAAGGAGGGACATAAAAAAGATCAGAGAAGAAATAAATAAAATTGAGAGAAACAAAACAATAGAAAAAAATCAACGAAACCAAGAGCTGGCTCTTTGAGAAAATAAACAAAATAGATAATCCTCTAGCCAGACTTATTAAGAGAAAAAGAGAATCAACACACATCAACAGAATCAGAAATGAGAAAGGAAAAGTCAAGATGGACCCCATAGAAACACAAAAAATTATTAGACAATACTATGAAAACCTATATTCTAACAAGCTGGAAAACCTAGAAGGAATGGACAACTTCCAGAAAAATAAAACCTTCCACAACTGACCAAGGAAGAAACACAACATCTAAACAAACCAATTACCAGGAAAGAAATTGAAGTGGTAATCAAAAAACTACCCAGGAACAAAACCCCCAGGCCAGATGGATTTACCTCGAAATTCTATCAGACATACAGAGAAGAAATAATACCCATTCTCCTTAATGTTTTCCAAAAAATAGAAAAGGAGGGAATTCTCCCAAACTCATTCTATGAAGCCAACATCACCCTAATACTGAAACCAGGCAAAGACGCCGCCAAAAAAGACAATTACAGTCCAATATCTCTGATAAACGTAGATGCAAAAATACTCAACAAAATATTAGCAAACCAAATTCAACAATAAATCAAAAGGATCATATGCCATGACCAAGTGGGATTCATCCCAACAATGCAAGGATGTTACAACATTCGAAAATCCATCAACATCATCCACCACATGAAGAAAAAGAAAGACAAAAACCACATGATCATCTCCATAGATGCTGCAAAAGCATTTGACAAAATTCAACATCCATTCATGATAAAAACTCTCAGCAAAATGGGTATACAGGGCAAGTACCTCAACATAATAAAGGCCAAATATGATAAGCCCACAGCCAACATCATACTGAACAGCAAGAAGCTGAAAGCTTTTCCTCTGAGATCAGGAACAAGACAGGGATGGCCACTCTCCCCACTGTTTTTAACATATTACTGGAGGTCCTTGCCATGGCCATTAGACAAAACAAAGAAATATAACCAATCCAAATTGGTAAAAAAGAAGTTAAACTGTCACTATTTGCAGATGACATGATACTGTACATAAAAAACCCTAAAGACTCCACTCCAAAACTACTAGAACTGATATCAGAATACAGCAAAGTTACAGGAAACAAAATTAACACACAGAAATCTGTGGCTCTCCTATACACTAACAATGAACTAATAGAAGAGAAATCAGGAAAACAATCCATTCACAGTTGCATCAAAAAGAATAAAATACCTAGGAATAAACCTAACCAAGGAAGTGAAAGATCTATCCCCTGAAAACTGTAAGACACTCTTAAGAGAAATTAAAGAGGATACTAACAAATGGAAACTCATCCCATGCTCTTGGCTAGGAAGAATTAACATTGTAAAAATGGCTATCCTGCCCAAAGCAATATACAGATTTGATGCAATCCCTATCAAATTAACAACAACATTCTTCAACGAACTGAAACAACTAGTTCAAAAATTCATATGGAAACACCAAAGACCCCGAATAGCCAAAGCAATCCCGAGAAGGAAGAATAAAGTGGGGGGGATCTCGCTCCCCAACTTCAAGCTCTACTACAAAGCCACAGTAATCAAGACAATTTGGTACTGGCACAAGAACAGAGCCACAGACCAGTGGAACAGAGTAGAGACTCCAAACATTAACCCAAACACATATGGTCAGCTAATATTCGATAAAGGGGCCATGGACATACAATGGGGAAATGACAGTCTCTTCAACAGATGGTGCTGGCAAAACTGGACGGCTACATGTAAGAGAATGAAACTGGATCACTGTCTAACCCCATAGACAAAAGTAAATTTGAAATGAATCAAAGACCTGAATGTAAGTCGTGAAACCATAAAACTTCTAGAAAAAAACTTAAGCAAAAATATATTGGGGGTGGGGGAGGGGGCGCGTCTCGGCGAGTCATGTTGAAGGCGGCCACCAGCCTGTGGTGAGGTAGCGGATTCTCTGGTTGTCTCGCAGAACCCCTCGCGTCTCCTGCAGACTCAGTGCCTGGCGCCCGGCACCTGAGGAAGCACGGCGGACCGAGCTCACGGGGAAGGCCGCAGTCGCGGAGGCAGCGGTGCGGCCAGGTGCCAGGGCTGGGGGGAAGGCGGCTGTGCAGGGCGAATGTGACAAGCCCCCACCCACTCCCACTGCCTTCCTCCCAAGTGCGCGAGGAGCGCGGGCGACCCCGGGGCCCTGCCAGGCCACAGACCCCACCCAGCGGCCAGTGCCTGGAGCAGGCCCGTCAGCGGAGCTGCGCGGCGGCACCATGCAGGTCACCCCGAAGACCCTTCAGCAGCAGACCTTCAAGATCGAGATCGACCCCGAGGAGACAGTGAAAGCACTGAAAGAGAAGATTGAATCTGAAAAGGGGAAAGATGCCTTTCCCGTAGCAGGTCAAAAATTAATTTATGCAGGCAAAATCCTCAATGATGAGACTTCTCTAAAAGAATATAAAATAGATGAGAAAAACGTTGTGGTGGTTATGGTGACAAAACCCAAGGCAGTGACGACGCCAGCTACAACGCAGCAGTCAAATCCCGTCACCACTCCCACCGTTAGTTCCTCCACAGCTACAGCTGTGGCCCAAGCTTCCAACCCTGCTCCCCCCCCCCCCCCCCCCCGTAGCTCCCACTCCCACTCCCAGTCCCACACCCACATCTGCATCCACCACTCCAGCATCACCGACAGCATCTTCTGAACCTGCACCTGCTAGTGCAGTGAAGCAAGAGAAACCTGCAGAAAAGGCAGCAGAAACGCCAGTGGCTATTAGCCCAACATCAACTGACAGTGCATCAGGAGATTCTTCTCCGTCAAACCTCTTTGAAGATGCAACAAGTGCACTTGTGACAGGTCAGTCTTATGAGAATATGGTAACTGAGATCATGTCAATGGGCTATGAATGAGAGCAAGCTATTGCAACCCTGAGAGCCAGTTTCAACAACCCTGATAGAGCAGTGGAGTTTTAATGGGCCGGCGATAGAGAAAGTCAGGCTGTGGTTGAGCCCTCTCCAGCACCTAGCACTGGGGCTCCACAGTCTTCAGTGGCTGCAGCTGCCGCGACAATGACAGTGACAACAACGACAACGAGTTCTGGAGGACATCCCCTTGAATTTTTACAGAATTACCCTCAGTTTCAACAGATGAGACAAATTATTCAACAGAATCCTTCCTTGCTTCCAGCATTGCTACAACAGATAGGTCGAGAAAATCCTCAACTACTTCAGCAAATTAGCCAACACCAGGAGCATTTTATTCACATGTTAAATGAACCAGTTCAAGAAGCTGGTGGTCAAGGAGGAGGGGGTGGAGGTGGCAGTGGAGGACTTGCAGAAGCTGGAAGCGGTCACATGAACTATATACAAGTAACACCTCAGGAAAAAGAAGCTATAGAAAGGTTAAAGACATTAGGATTTCCTGAAGGACTTGTGATACAAGCATATTTTGCTTGTGAGAAGAATGAGAATTTGGCTGCCAATTTTCTTCTACAGCAAAACTTTGATGAAGATTGAAAGGGACTTTTTTTTAACTCACACTTCACACCATTGCATTACACTAACTTTGTTCACTGTATTGTCTGGGATGACTTGGGCTCATATCCACAATACTTGGTATAAGGTAGTAGATTGTTGGGGGTGGGGAGGGAGTGATCTAGGATATAAGGCAGGGACAAATACAGTGCATGTCTGCTTCAGTTAGCAGATGCCATAAGTCCACACAGTGTATAAAATACTATACAACCAAAAATCAGCTTTTGCAGGTCTTTGTTTCTTCTATAAAACAGTAGGTGACTTTTTCCTAGGTTTCACTCTTTTTAGTGTACTAGATCCAGAAATTAGTGTAATGCCCTGCTTTATATTTCTTTGACTTAACATTGGTTGCAAAAGGCATCTTTGCTACCTAGAATCTTCAGTCTTCTCATGGCAACACTGGATAATGGCTTTGTGAAATTGAAAAAAATTCTGGAGCAACTATAAACAAATGCCAAATTATTGATGGTTATTGTTGCTGCTTCAAATACATATAAAATTAATGTGTAAGAAAGCCCATTCTTTCATGTTAAATACTTGGGATTGGGGAGGGAAAAGGGGAACCTTTTCTTAAAATGAAAATAATTACTGCTATTTTAAAATTTATCATTGAATGTGAGAACCTTCTAACATGATTTGAGAAGCTATACAAGTACAGGCAGAGTTATTTTTCTGTTTACATTTTTTTGGTTTGTTTTGGGGGAAAAATTGGTAGGTGTCTAATTACTGTTTACTTCATTGTTATATTGTAGTAAAAGTTTTAAAACCACCACTGCATGCTTGCTTTTGATGTATCCCTTTGTGAAATTAGCACTTTGGGGCCAATGGAGAAATGCAGCATTCATACACCCTCTCTCCCTTCCCTCAGCAGAAGTGTGTTTGTCAGCAAGTCCTGCTGCCATTTTTAAACCCACAAAATGCTGATTCAGTTCAAAATTAATGCAAATGTTTCAGAACTGGGTTTCTGATATTTGTAAATGTTTTTTCTTATTAGATATGAATGTATAACCATTAAAGTCATTAGGATTATGTTTTTTCAAAAAGAAAAGGTGGAAGAACTATAATCTAGCATCTTTTATTACATTGGAAAGACTGCTGAAACCTTTTAGAAGGGTTGGGAGATACAGCTGGAAAAGTACTTTGGAAAATATACAATCAACATATCTCATCGCTTATTAAAAGAAAAATCTTAATAAAAAAAAATCTCTTGGACATAAACATGAGTGACTTATTCATAAACATATCTCCCTGGGCAAGGGAAACAAAAGCAAAAATGAACAAGTGGTACTATATCAAGCTGATAAGCTTCTGTACAGCAAAGGACACCATCAATAGAACAAAAAGGTACCCTACAGTATAGGAGAATATATTCATAAATGACAGATCCAATAAAGGGTTGACATCCAAAATACATAAAGAGCTGATGCACCGCAACAAAAAAAAGCAAATAATCCAATTAAAAAATGGGCAGAGGAGCTGAACAGTTCTCCAAAGAAGAAATTCAGATGGCCAACAGATACATGAAAAGATGCTACACATCACTTGTCATCAGAGAAATGCAAATTAAAACCACAATGAGATATTACCTCACACCAGTAAGGACTGCCACCATCCAAAAGACAAACAACAACAAATGTTGGTGAGGTTGTGGAGAAAGGGGAACTCTCCCACACTGCTGGTGGGAATGTAAATTAGTTTAACCATTGTGGAAAGCAGTATGGAGGTTCCTCCAAAAACTCAAAGTAGACATAGCATTTGACCCAGGAATTCCACTTCTAGGAATGTACCCTAAAAATTCAGCAGCCCAGTTTGGAAAAAACAGATGCCCCCCTATGTTTATCGCAGCACTATTTACAATAGCCATGAAATGGAAGCAACCTAAGTGTCCAACAGTAGATGAATGGATAAAGAAGATGTGGTACATATACACAATGGAATATTATTCAGCCATAAGAAGAAAACAAATCCTACTATTTGCAACAACATGGTTGGAGCTAGAGGGTATTATGCTCAGTGAAATAAACCAGGCAGACAAAGGCAAGTATCAAATGATTTCACTCCTATGTGGAGTATAAGAATAAAGAAAATCTGAAGGAACAAAACAGCAGCAGACTCACAGAACCCAAGAATGAACTAACAGTTACCAAAGGGAAAGGGACTAGAGAGGATGGGTGGAAAGGGAGGGGTAAGGACAGGGTAAAAGAAAGGGGGTATTATGATTAGCATGTATAATTAGCATGTAGGGGGTGGCATGGGGAGGGCTGTGCAACACAGTAAAGACAAGTAATGATTCTACAGCATCTTACTACGCTGATGGACGCTGATGTAATGGGGTGTGTGTGGGGGGTGCTCTTGGTGAAGGGGAGAGCCTAGTAAACATAATGTTCTTCATGTAATTGTAGATTAATGATAATAAAATAAAAACAAAAAAGAAGAAGCTTCATTTCTGACCTTACAGAAATAGAAAGATAATAAGGGAATTCTACTGACAATTATTTACTGTTTATTAGGTAACTTAAAGGAAGGAATGGGGAGTAACTGCTAAAGGATACAGGGTTTCTTTTTTAAGCAATAAAATTATTTCTATTAGGTTTTTTTCTTCTTTTTGCAAAACTCTGAAAATACTAAAAATGGCTAAACTATACACTTTAAGTGGGTGAGTATTATGTTGTGTGAAATAAATCTCAGTGATGACTTTAAAAAAAACAACTAATAATCCTATACTTAAGAAATGTATCAAACAATTTGAAAAAAATTATCTTTGGTGTTTACAAGTTTCTCAAAATGGAATGGAGCATGACTGAGTGCATTATGATTTCAAACATAATTTGAATGCTATTATAATTCATATCCATACAAATTTCTAACTTAATTTACTGTAATATAAGCTATATAATACTTGATTTATAACAGTTGTCAGAGTGCTTCATAGCTCTTAGAGGATAAAATACAAAATTATATAAATATCAATAGTCTTTGTAATATGTATCAGTTTGCTTATTTTTGTAGTGTCACAAACCATGGCCTTTTTGCATCCCGATTGTTTTATATATTTATTCACTAGCACCCTATTGACCCCATAGTATAGTCCACATGTTCTTCAATGCTTACCAACTTTAAAAGGCAGTTAATTTTAAATTTTTAAATGTGTTACATTATATATGTAGGTTGAAATAGGCTGCTATGATCATAATTTTTGCAAGCACTGGACTCTATTTGTAAAATAAAGTGTTCTGAGTAGATAGAGTTACAATATTAAATACTAAAGTTAGAATATATGGTTTTAAATGGTGGATCACTATACAACTATTAATTAGTGTTATAAGTCTGAAACACATTTATCTTCAAAGCAATTGAACTTATAACACTATTAATTAGTGTTATAAGTCTGAAACACATTTATCTTCAAAGCAATTGAATAAGTAGTTAGCATAATTATATCTACCTTGTGACATACCAAATATAGGAAATGGCACATGAGATTAAAAATGGAGGAGAGAAATACAAAATCTAGACCCAAACTACCATGTCTGTAGTTCAGTTACATACCACTGTATCTCAACTGTACCCTCTACTTTCTTTCACTGGAATTTTAGTGCTATTAACCCTCCAGTAATCTGTGTTCAAAGTACTTGAGTACTACTCATCAGTATTAGTGATTACCACTTGGAGTTGGGGCATGTCTACTTATTGGTTGTATCAGAATTTCTGCAGATAATACTTAAAATTTGAAAAAGACAGCAAGGTGACTATGTTTATTATGTTAAGGTCATCAACTCATGTCCATTTTAATAATTTATTCTTTGAAAGTTACACATGCTCTTTATTAACTCATACTTTCCAGTAAGCATCATACCTATAAATGACTTAAAATATCACCTTGTCCTAAACACAATCTTCCTTTATTTGCTGCCCCTCAGAAGCTTCTTTCAGGTTAATGCCTGCATCAACATAGATAAAGTCTTCTTTCTCCATGTACCTTGTACTTTGTAAATCACAACATCCAAGATGATTTTAAGCTAAGTCAGCATTTGATCTGGGGAAAGGAATAAAGAGAGTAAAGCTGAGCCTAGGAAATTTGTTATATAAATTAAGCTTGGTCTGTTAAGTGTCTGCACTTCCTTCACATAGGATCTCTCTCACTGTCTGCCTTACCCGCAGTAATCTAATGCTTCTATCAAACATTGTACATAAACTGATTTCCAGACAATAGTCCCAGATTCCAGTTACCTCTCAGAACCTCTAAATTCTTCCATCAAAAACATTGTTTTAGTACACTTGTAAAGAAAGTAATCTGATTAAAATCATTCATGTATTAATCACTTTGCCTTAACTTCCCCCATAGAAGGTACAAAGAAGTTCACATTTCTTTAAGTAAACAATCTAGAACTGCTTCCAAGATCCTTGCTAAAATGTCCTCCTCTAGTCTTAAAATAATTGAAGAAGTATTCTGTGAATAACTCATATTTTCAGGGTACTGTCACAATCCTGGATGCATCTGACTCACAATAAAATTTGTAAACATAGACTCACTACCTTCACTTTGGAAAATAGCTAACCTACCATCAGAGCAGGATGCTTTGAAGTATGTTTCAGTGTTGTACCTTTGGGCCAGAGGTTCCTTTCTGTCCACTGAGAATAAACTGTTGGTCACAAGTTTGGCTGTCAAAGAATCAGTAACTTCACTCCTGAAGCATGGTGACCTCTGCTATATTGTTCACAAGGCCTTTGCCTAGAGAACACTGAGGAATTCATTTTGACTGCCTATTGCTGTGGCCATGCCTCACCTTAACTAAGGCTAGTATCTTGGTGTAGAGAAGAAAAAAAAAGATGTAATGCTCAGCGATGGCTACTATTATTATATCAACCTATTAGTCCATGGATGGATTAATAATGTTTTAAATATCACTTGATTTTTCCATGCCCAAGCAGTAACCCTAAAGAATAGTTATTTTAAAGAATAGTGATTTAGTAAAGGTTTGATTCAGGAGATTCCAACAAAAACCATTTCAGAATGAAAGAAGTTCATGACT